CAACAGGAACCGCTACAGCATTACCCAGAGGGGTAACCATGGCAACCTGAGGCCCTTGAGGCCACATATTGTTTGTTCAGTCAGAATCCCTTTTAAGTGCCAACAGGAGTCAGAAGCCAGAAGACTTCTAAAGATCCAGTCAATCAATCAGCCAATGCTTACTCTAGAAACAATGAAGTTCTACTTGCAAGTAATAAAAATAGCTCACATGTCTATAGTCCTTACATAAAAAGAAAACTTTCCTCAATGTGTGCATTGTTATCTCTATTCTATAGGATGAGAAAATCGAGACTCCAGTTCAGCGGTCCATCCAATTAGGAATGCGTCCATCAAAGATTCCAAACCAAGTTTCCTGACCCCAAGCCCTGCCCTAAGTTGTCTGTGTCTAAGCTCTGTGGTTTCCACTATACTATCTGGTCTCTGACTAGAGAGCATCTTAAGCTCAGTGGTCCTATTTTCTTTCTCTGTACAATGAAGGGGATGGTTGTATGAAGTGACTTCTAAGGGTCCTTCCGTTGCAAATTTCTGGGCCTGTTATAAGGGCATTTACCTTACTGTCATATACCAAGCTCTACATCACCTTATTTAACCTTCACAGCAACGCCATGAAGCATGCAGGACATACATTATTATTCCTATTTTTCTTTTTTTTAATTTTATTAATTTATTGATTTATCAACAATCACTTCCATATTCTTTTGAGTTGAAAATTTTTCTCACACTTCCTCCCCTCCACCCTCCCCAAGACGGGGCACAATCTGATATAGGCTTTACATTTACATTCCTATTAAACATATTTTCACATTTGTGAAGTTGTAAGTAAAAATTAAAACCAATAGGAGGAACCATCAGAAAGATGAAACACAACTCAACAGAAGGTAAAAATAAGTGATAACAATTCTAATTCCATAGTTCTTTGGATGTGGACAGCATTTTCCATTCTGAGGCCTCTGGAGATTTCTTAGTTCCTTGTAATGCTGAGAAGGGTTCAGTTTAACAATATTAGTCATCACATAATGTGGCTGTTATTGTGTACAAAGTCCTCTTGGTTCTGCTCACTTCACTCAGCATCAGACCATATAGGTCTTTTCCAGGTTTTTTCTGAAGTCAGCCTGTTTCATCATTTCTTATAGCGAAATAGTATTCCATTACATTCATATACCACAACTTGCTCAGCCATTCCCCAATTGATGGGCATTCTCTCAATTTCCAATTCTTTGCCACCACAAAAAGAGTTGCTATGAATATTTTTGTACATATGGGTCCTTTTCCCATTTGTTTGATCTCTTTGGGATATAGCCCTAGAAGTGCTATTGCTGGGTCAAAGGGTATGCTCATTTTTGTAGCCCTTTGGGCATAGTTCCAAATTGTTCTCCAAAATAGTTGGATCATTTCACAACTCCACCAACAATGTATTAGTGTTCCAATTTTCCCACATCTTCTCCAACATTCATCATTTTCCTGTTTTGTCATGTTGGCCAATCTGATAGGTGTGATGTGGTACCTCAGAGTTGTTTTGATTTGCATTTCTCTAATCAATAATGATTTAGAGCATTTTTTCATATGACTATAGATGGCTTTAATTTCTTCATCTGAGAATTGTCTGTTCGTATCCTTTGACCATTTATCAATTGGGGAATGGCTTGTGTTCTTATGAATTTGCCTTCATTCTCTATATATTTTAGAAATGAGGCCCTTATCAGAGAGACTGGTTGTAAAAATTCTTTCCCAATTTTCTACCTTCCTCCTAATCTTAGTTGCATTGGCTTTGTTTGTGCAAAAACTTTTCAATTTAATGTAATCACAATTATCCATTTTGCTTTTTATAATGTTCTCTATATCCTGTTTGGTCATGAATTCTTCTGTTCTCCACAGATCTGATAGGTAAACTATTCCTTGTTCTCCCAGTTTACTTATGGTATCAGCCTTTATATCTAAGTCATGAACCCATTTTGACTTTATTTTGGTATATGGTGTGAGATTTGGGTCTATGCCTATTCCTATTTTTCTACTGAGGAAACAGAAGTAATAAAAGTAATAAGAGGATCCTTTGCTATTGGTCTTCAAATGCCAGAGAAAGGAAGAAAACAGGCTGCAAGTGGTTCTTCTAATAAGGTCCCCAAGCATATACTCTCTTTCCTTTCTTTCTCAGGCTTCTCCTTGAAGCAAAGCTTTTCTTTCAGTTAAGAGATGTGCTAAGTTCAATTTGCCACACCTGACAAGGTTAGATATTGCTTTAATCTTTAAAGGAGACCTGGTTAGCTCCTTTGATACATGGGCACCATGGGCACCATAGTTAGCACACAAGAAGCTAACCTAACAAGGTAATTTCAAGTAACGGGATTGTAGTATCATAGAACTGGAAACAATCTTAGGGGTCATTTAGCCCTGCAGGCTGCCTCATTTTACAGGTAAGGAAACTGAGACCCATCAATCCCTCTTGAACTCTCTACATCCTTTGACCAGCACCCTCTTCTTATTGTTACTCTCTTCTCTCTGGGTTTTCAGGGCACAACTCTCTCCTGTTCCTCCTTCCACTTATCTAACTACTCTTCAGTTTCCTTTGCTGGATTTTCATCCAGGAAACAATGGTTAACCTAGTCTTTGGTGCTCCCCAGGGCTTTGTCCTGAAACCTCTTTTGTTTTCTTTCTGTATTATTTCCCTTGGTGATCTCATCTGTTTCCATTCCATGGATTCAATTATTTCTACATAGACATACCTTGTTTTACTGCACTTCACTTTATTGTGCTTCTCAGATATTGGTGTTGTTTTTTGGTTTTTGTTGTTGTTTTTTTTTTACAAATTGAAGGTTTGTGGCAACCCTGCTTCTAGTACATCTATTGGTTCCATTTTTCCAACAGCATGTGCCCACATCATGTCTCTGTCTCACATTTTGGTAATTCTCCAAATACTTCAAACTTTTTCACTGTTGTGGGCGATCTGTGATCAGTAATCTTTGATGTTACTGTTGTACTTATTCTGAGATACCACCAACTTCCCCATATAAGATGCAAATTTCATTGGTAAATGTTGTGTGTGTTCTGACTGCTCCACCAACCAGTGGTCCTGTCTCTCTCTCTCTTTCTTGGGCACCCCTAATTCCCTGAGACACAACAATGTTGAAATTAGCCCAATTAACAACCCTCCAATGACCTCTAAGTGTTCAAGTGAAAGGAAGATTCAATCCATCTTCAAATTTCATTGTTGTCTTATTTTAAGAAATTGCCACAGCCACCCTAACCTTCAGCAATCACTACCCTGATCAGTTAGCAGCCACCAACATGGAGGCAGGACCCCTCCACCAGCAGAAAGATTACAACTTGATGAAGGCCCAGATGATGGTTAGCATTTTGTTTTAACAATAAAGTATTTTTTGATTAAGGTATGTACGTTGTTTTTAGATATAATACCACTGCACATTTAATAGATTACAGCATAGTGTGAACACGTTTTATATGCCTTGGGAACCCCGAAAATTAGTGTGACTTTATTACAATATTCTCTTTATTGCCATGATCTGGAACTGAATCCACAATATCTCTGAGGTATGCCTGTACTGATGATTCTGAAACTTGCTTATCCAGCCCTGATGTTCAGTCTCACATCCTTCCACTTAGCGACTTTCCCCATCTAGGTCTGGAAATACATTGGGTCTGCATAAGAAATTAAATAGGAGTTTGGGGGAGTTTTTGGAAGCTGCAGATAACTCTAGAAGGCCAGCAGACAACACAGAGCCTATGAGCAAACAACAATTTTACAATAAGATGCTATAAACACCTCATTAAAAAAAAAAAGAAAGAAATTCAGACTTCTCTGGTATAAAGGGAGGGCCAAAATATTTTACTCAGATTTTCCAGTTCATAAGCAGGGCGCCTTGTCCCTAACCCCCATGATGTGGAATGAAGAACTGCATTAGACATCTTGAACCAGATATCCCGCCCCCGTGCAGGCCCTCCACCCCTGGACTGTTATAACAGTCTGCTGATCTGGTCTGCCTGCCCCTCTAGTTCATAGTCCATTCAGCTTCCAAAGTGATTTTCCTAAAGTTCAGGTTCGACTTTGTCACTCCCCTACTCAATCAATTTTTGTGATTGGACCCCTAGGGTTCACTATAAAATTCTGTCATTCAAAGCCCTTCATAACCTAGCCCCGCCCCTACCTTTCCAGTCCCTGCCCTCCCCCACTTAACCTTTAATCCAATGATCCTGACTTCCTTGCTGTTCAATGAGCAAGACACTCCATCTCTTCTGACTGTCCTCCATACCTAGAACGCTCTCCCTTCTCCACTCCATTGAGGCTTCCTTCAAACTCCAGCTAAAATTCCACCTTCTACAGGGAGCCTTTCCCAACCCCTGTCCATTCTAAAGCCTTCCCTGTAGTGATTGTTTCCTATTTTTCGGTATATAGTTGTTTGCATGTAGTCTGCTCCCATTAGATTGTGAAGGGCAGGAATTGTCTTCTTGCCTTTCTTTTCATCCCCGGTGCTTAGCAGTTCCTGGCCCACAGCAGTTGCTAATTGACTAAATGACAACTGAATGACTGACTGATTTGCTTAAGGTCGTACTACAGTTGATGAGAATGGAGAAAGTACAGGTTTTTGAATGTGCAATGGGAATTTGAGGATTGCATGTTCCCTTTGCCAAAACGAATTCTTAATTAATTCTAACGAGTAAAAAAAAAACCTACAAAAATCACAAAAGAAACTATTCATAGTAGAAACATCTAAAAACTTAAAATTGAGACTTCAGTCTTTAAAGGCCTTCTAAAGAAAGAAAGGAGAGAACAGAAAAGGAAAAAGGAAGGGAAGGGAGAGGGAAATGAAGGCAAAGAAAGAAGACAAAAGAAATGTTCAGTGCAACTCTTTCTTCCTGGGGTTGGAGGAGGAGGAGCCAATCAGGTCTTGAGAGCGAAGATTGCCTGTTTTCAATCCGGTCCGACAACACGGTATATAATGATAAAATTTTTCCTAAGAAATCAGTATTTTGTTTGAGTAGCTTAAGGTAGTTCTTTGAAATGTCAGGACGTGGGAAAGGCGGTAAGGGGCTCGGCAAAGGGGGTGCCAAGCGGCACAGGAAGGTGCTCCGGGATAACATCCAGGGCATCACCAAGCCCGCCATCCGTCGTCTGGCCCGGCGCGGCGGCGTCAAGCGTATCTCGGGGCTCATCTACGAGGAGACCCGCGGCGTGCTGAAGGTGTTCCTGGAGAACGTGATCCGGGACGCCGTCACCTACACCGAGCACGCCAAGAGGAAGACGGTCACTGCCATGGACGTGGTCTACGCACTCAAGCGCCAGGGCCGGACCCTCTATGGCTTCGGCGGTTAAGTCAGCTGCGATTTGCCAGCCCGCCAAGGAAAACCAAAGGCCCTTTTCAGGGCCAACCATGGTGTCTTTTAAAAAGCTGAACACAAGTTAATAATTGGTAGTTTTGCAATTAGTGGATGGGTTAATTATCTATTCATGTTGCCATGGCAATAGGAATTTGCTGTGAAGCTCGAATTAGTCAAACCTAAAATGCTATGCTGCAATATATACTAACAATAGCTGTAGTTTTCAGTTGGGATGCTGTCTTTTTGAGGGGGTTTTCAGAGCTGGTTTTTAACTGACGTGCGGTTATTGAACTCCAAGGTACTGAATTCCTCTTCAAATTGAGAGAGCTGCCAGTTCTGCATTCTAATTTGATAGCTTTTGGGTTACCATAAGAGGTATGCAAATAAGGAGATAGTACTCCTTTCTTGCTATTGGCTGTTAACACAAAGGCGCCGGCGGGCCAGGAAAGTGCTTGCCGCACCAAATACGGGATAACTTCACAGCTTATGAAAGGTAGATGGAGGATGAGTAATAAACTCAAAAGTCATTTCCAGAAGGAGATGGCGAGAGATGACTAACAAGGCCCTTTAGTAGGAAGTTGCCCCTAGGTGGGTCTTTGAAAAACCAGCATTTTAAGAAGCAGAGGTGGGGAGGGAGGACGTTGGACATACGGTGGACTGCTTGGGCAAAGACAGAGGAGGTGGAATATGGAATGTAATAGAATTTTGTAGATGAGAACAGGTAGCAATCTCGTTAGCTGGAGTAAAGAGAGATAAAGGGGAATAATATGCAATATTGGAAGGTGCCGGAGAGTCAGATTAGAGAGGGCCTTAAATTCCAGACCGATGATTTTCTTTTTTGTTCTAGAAGCAATAAGTAGCCGATGAAGATTTTTGGAGAGGGGAATTACATGGGTCAGATATATTTTAGGCATATTAATTTGGTGGCTGTATGGGGGAAAGATTAGAGAAAAGAATAATCAAATATATAGAAAACATTTACTGTATTCTCGATCTTCCTTATCACTATATCATTGTTTTCCCTTTAATTGCTAATTTGTTCCTGTAGAGTTACGGAAGCAATCATATTTTTGTATCTCTTTCAAGGTAATAGGATCTTTTAGCTCCCAGGAAGGCCCTGTGTTAGTATAGACTGATTGGTTGGTTGTCAGTCCTCGAAGAGGACCAAAATGACATCACTATGTTGGAGTCAAGTTACAGTGTGTCCGACCGTGGCTGATCAGACCAATTCGAGCTCGGAAGGCTCCACCACAGGTCAGACACAAATAGTCCATGTGAACATTCGGGATGGATTCTCTAAATGTGCACATCTCCCGTTTCTTTCGAGCCTACTTCAATTCTGCTTTGTTCATAGCTCACAGCACCTCCTCCGATGTAGGCACGCCATGCTGGGCGGTCCTGTGCCAGTGTCTCCCTTGTCATACAATAAATTCCAAAGTCCTTAAGAGAAATCTTGAGAGTGTCCTTGTATCTCCTTCTGACCACCATGTGAGCGTTTGCCCTGTGTGAGTTCTCCATAAAACAGTCTTTTAGGCAAGCATACAATCGACATTCAAAGGAAGCAGTCAGCTCATTGTAATTGCACTCTCTGCTGTTGAATTTGAATACTTAATAGTTAAGTCTAAGAGAAAACGTCAGTGTCAGAATGGCCGAGTGGTCTAAGGCGCCAGACTCAAGGTTTCTCCTTATCTAGTAGAGTGTTCTGGTCTCCGTATGGAGGCGTGGGTTCAAATCCCACTTCTGACACAAGTCCTTTTTTTCTAAATGAGGCCCCGCTGGAATCTGATCTCTGTGCATATGTGTTCCAGTCAATCCCAGCAATCCCTCATAGAGTGGAAAACCATACTTTAAGCAACAAATCCTCCCATACCTTATTTTTATGTACATCTCTAAGGTTGCTAGGGTTACTAACAAAACTTAATTCCATCAAGGCGGTTATATATAGGATATTCCCCTCCTTTCTTTAATCCTAGGGCCACATAAATAATAGCTAGCATTTATATAGCTCTTTAAAGTTTGTTATCTTATTTGATCCTCATGACAACCCTGAGAGGTAGATGCTATTATTATCCTTATTTCACAGATTAGAAAACTGAGGCAGACAAAGGTTAAGTGACTTGACCAGGACCACACACTTAGTAAGTACCTCCAGTAGAATTTGAACTCAGGTCTTCCTGCCTCTAGGCTCGGCATTCTGTCCACTGTGCCACCTAGCTGCCCCATGATTACAACAAGTCACCTTAAAAGAACAACTAAAATCAGGTAGTCCCTACAGGGCTATGTGGAGAAGGGAGAAACATGCACAAGTCAGCTCCATTTCCTTAGGGTCTTTGACCTGGCTATGAGGATACAGATACCCAGGGTCTTTCTTTGCACCAGCTGGTAGCTATCCTGTCACTTAAGCCCCACTGTAGCTCTGAGATGCCTAAAGCCAAGGTTGGGACAATTAATACTGAGTCAACAAGTATTTATTGAGTGCATACTATGTGCCAGGTGCTATGCTAAGTGCTGGAGATACAAAGAAAGGGGAAAAGACAGTCCTGGCCTCAAGGAGCTCAAAGTCAAATGGGAGAGACAATAAGAATATATGGGGCAGTTGGGGGAGGGGAATAATGTGTAAGAAATAATGTAGGAGGATGCCATGTTGTGTATGATGGGCTTTGAACACCAAACAGGGGATTTTATATTTGAATCTGAAGGTGACAGAGAGCCACTGGAGTATATTGGGATGGGGGCTGGGGAGGTAGGGAGGGGATTGACACGGCTAGACCTGTCCTTTAGAAAGATTAATTTATAGCTGAGTGAAGGATAAATTGGAGTGATGAGAAACAAGTTTGGGAAACCAATCAAAAGGCTATCCAGTAGGCATGGGGCAGAAGTGGCATCACAGTGGAAGGAGCGCTGGGCCTAGACAGTCAGGAAGACCTCAGTTTGAATCTGGCCTCAGACAAACACTTACGTGCTGTGTCCCCCTGGGTAAGTCTCTTAACCCTGTGTGCTTCAGCTTCCTCATTGCTAAAATGAGCTGGAAAAGGAAATGGCAAACCACTCCAGTATCTTTGTCATGAAAACCCCAAAAGGGTTGGACATTTCTGAACAACAACAGTAACGATGTGACAAAGGCCTGTACCAGAGTGGTGGCAGTGTCAGAGGAGAAAGAGGGACCTGTGGCAGAGGTGCTAGCTACAAATGTAACATCAACAGGACCTGGCAACAGACTGGATATGTAATGAGGGAATGAGGAGTGAGCTAGGAGGATGGTGATGTCTTCAACAACAATATGAAAATTAGCAAGTGGGGGAAGATTTGTGGGGAAAGATGAGATCAGTTTTAGACATGTTGGATTTAAGATGTCTATAGGACATGCAGTTCAAGATGTCCATTGGTCAATCGGAGATGCAAGTCTGGAGGAGTGAGAGGAAAGGTAACAGAGGCATCTACTGTGTACAGTCTTTTCGAGGAGTTTATCCACAAAAAGAATATCAAGTGAGGGGTTTTTAAGGATGGAGGAGACACGGGCATGTTTGTAGGCAATATGAAAACAATCAGTAAATAGAGAAGGTTGAAGGTCAGACAGTAGGGATGATAAATGGTACAATCCGTTGGAGAATGTGAAATAGAATGGGATCAGGTGTGCAGGTAGACAGGTTTGCCTTAGCAAGGTAATGAGCTACTTCATGTGAGACAGGGGTGAAGGAAAAGATGGTTGGGGAAGGTATTTGAGTGATGTGAGATGAGGAGGAGGAAGAGGGGAGAAGAGGGACATTTTGGCAAATGGCCTGAATTGTTTCAGTAAAATATGAAACAAGGTTTTCAGCTGAGAGGATGGGGGCAGAAGGAATATGGGAAGTTTGAGAAGGGATGAAAAATTTGGGAAATCTATTATGGTGAATGGGGTATTTTGTCAATTCTGGAAGTAAAAATAATTGTCTTGCCACAATGAGGGCTCAGTGTGGTGGTGAAATATGAAATGACTGAGGAAACAAAGATTCAAGCTTCTGAGCATAGCTATTTATTAAGCAATGCATACCAATTACATAACAAATTGGAAACAGGTCTCCTCAGCTTTGGCACTGAACCCCAAACACAGGGGGAGACAGATTTTTATACATTAAAAACAAAAAGGGGCAGCTAGGCATCACAGTAGATAGAGCATCAGCCCTGAAGTCAGGAGTTCAAAGCTGGCCTCAGACCAAACACTTGACACTAGTTGTGTGACCCTGGACAAGTCACTTAACCCCAATTGCCTAAAAAAAACCCAATAAAACAAGATCAATTAATTAAAAGAAAACAATTAACCAGGAAACAAAAATAGGTACCCTGATTTCTAATTGGAGGAAAGATTAGGGACTTTCCAAGTTGGGAAGGGGAGATCGAACAGGTGCAATTCTCTGAAATCATAAAAGGAGGTGTCCCACTCATCCCAATATTCAATCAAAGGAACATGAAAGTAGTATTTTACTGATCGGTATAAGGCCAGCTTTCAGATAAGACATATTGGTTGCTTGAGGTGTGTAACTGTGAGAAACTCCTTGCATCAATCTTTGGGTCTAACCAGGTTTCTGCTCAGCATAACCCGTGTCCTTAATTAAGCAACAAGTAGAGGTGGTCCAGCTTCCCAGCCGTGAAGGTCTAAGTTCAAACAATGCAATAAAGTTTTCTCACAATTCCCAGAATTGAATAAAGTTTTCCCACAAGACAGAAATTAGATTAGATTCATAATAGAATAGAAAGGGAACTGAGCTAGCTCCAGAATTGAATCACAAAATGGAGTCAGTGTGGTTCACTCAAATCCCACTACTATATGCTGTTTTAATTCCCTCAGTTTCCCCTTTTGATTCATATGGAAAGGGATAGCCCACTCCCTCCATGGATTACCTACCTACATGCCAAATCTGTAAGGTTTCTCATATATTCATAATCAGAATTGTGTATTCAGGTTACAGATGAAACTATTCAGAGGGCTCACAATGGACTAATT